TATGTAATATTGCATCAGAATAGAAGAAAACACAATTTTGGGTGCTGCTGCCATGATGACCATTATGGGAAAACCATGTTACTGATGATTGCCAAACGTTCAAAAAAGAAATACAGGACTAAAATGCAGCCTGAGTTGGAAAAGCAGTCTAATTGGCTTCTTTTTCTGGAAGTTATACATTTTCAAAGTGTGAACTTGAACTGCCATGGGCCTGAAGCCTTATGCTTGTTACACATTTTACTTACATTGGTATTACCTGTTGAGCATAATTAAAATTTGATGTTGAATTTGCAGTTTAACATAATGTACTTTTGCATCAGAATTGACAGTAGCCTATTTTGTGCATAGTTTTTTCCTGCTTTTTGTCTGTACATTTGACAGCTTTGCTGCCTTGTTAAAGATTGTGTTTTATATGTGTTTTGTATTTCTATTGAAAAACCTTAAACATAAGATATGACTGTTTAAAATTATTATTATTGAAACAAAACGGCTTTGAAACACTATGCTTAGTTAAGGAGATAAGATTGCTGTGATCATCTCTTTTAGGAAATAGATGGAAAAGCTTTGACCCTTCTGAACAGTGACATGATGATGAAGTACATGGGTCTGAAGTTGGGTCCTGCTCTCAAGCTGTGTCATATAATTGAGAAGATTAAGACCAGAAAGTAAGAGACTTATAAGGAAGTATGGTTACAATAGACATGGTGAAGAACAAACAGAAAAAGGGGAAAAAATGCATGGGCTTGACAAGTATAGATAATAAAGATTAATGTGAAGATAACCTTACTTTTCTTCTTTTATACTTCAAGTGTGGCATATAACTGCATGATCCAATTTCTCTTCATTTTCACTCAATTAGCTTATAATAATAATAATAATAATAATAAACTTTATTTAAAGAGGGTAAAACATGTTAAGTGCACACACTTATCTTACACATGGCCCTCTAGGGGGTGAAAATGAAATTTTGTGCTAATGAATAAAAGATGTATACTGTGACAATATATTGAAATACTGAGATTTGGGGATTTTTTTTTCTCTTGTGGCAAGCTACTTTGAATAGAGATAGATTGCAAGGAAATGTTTTTGCTGGTGTAACAGCTGGTTTAATGTGCCACTGTTATACCATCAGAACTTGATGTGAAGTATGCTCTATTTTTCTAATGGTGGGAGGGGGGTAGGGTGGATAAGTGTTTTGAATAAAATTATGCTATGTGAACATAATTAGTTTTAAAAACTGGTACATTGTAAAAACATTGCACTGCAGTGAAATGATCTTTCACAATTGCCCCTTTATTGTCTTGGGAGGTGCATCAAGCCTTTTTTATTAGTCTTAATAGAGAATTTTTGTATGGATTTTTCCTTTTTTGTACTGTATGGGAAATAATTCCATGCTCAGCAACTAAATGACACTGAAGAGAACAACTGCAAAGGTTTGAGCAGATGGAGTGGATTTAATTTCATAGATGACAGTGTATTTGTCTCCATGTTGTCACAAATGACAGATGCTGTTATAATGAATCTTTTTCACCTGCAGTTTCATCAATTAAGAAATGACACATCAACTGGCATGTATTATTGAAGTGCACCAGGCCCTTATGTACTAAGTTTACTTCTGTTAGAACATAAAATAGGGGTGTACCATCAGTATTTCTGTCAGTAATGTATTGGTTTTTAATGCACAGACTGTTGTGACTGTACATGTAGCCATCAGCAGGTTATTTGTTTCGATGTTCAAAATGTGCATAGTGTCAAGTAAGCTTCTTTTTATTTGCCATTATATTTTCTTGGAACAATTGTGTAGATGTGTAGAGTAAATATCTTGACATTTCTCATGGAATTGCTCTCACAATCTCTTAAACTTAAATTTTACATCTAGTGGCATCAGATATAAACAGCAGATTTGTTCTTTCATGATTGTATGAAAACTGTTTACTTCTTTATTATTTCTGTAAATGAATCGGCTTTTGCTGTCTAGTTTATGCTTGAATATTAGAAAATGTACCTTTATTAGCCTTAAAGGCAGTAAGAAGTTGTGGTAGATTAAATGATGCGCGGGTGTCCTGTATGTAACAGATTGTGAATGATCTTGTACAGATAGTAGTACTGTATTATTGGTGCTAGGTTTAGACTGGTTTCAGAACCATTCCTTTAATCTCTGTGTATATAGGTATATGCAGGACATACAAAAGGCCATATATGCAAGTATGCATGCCATGGAAGGATATTAGATATTAAATGTGACACACCTACATATTATATCAGACGTTCAACCACAAAGTTGAAATCTGACTCACCACACCACATTTGCCTTTGATTTGTCCAAGACAAAAAATGCAGGCAAAAGTTTATAAGTTGCAAAGAGGGAATTGCAAAGAGGGAAGGGGCTACAAGGGCGATGATGATGATGATGAAACTTTTAAAAATAGGTTATCATTTTTTGAGGTGCCATTTCCAGACACTTGAACGTATATAAAAGCACACACAGATCTTTACATTATGGATTATCACTAAGACAAAGAGTAAAGCTCAAGGGAAAGTATGCATCACTATACAATGAGTTCAGCAGATTTTTGCTAAAAATATAACTTCTAGTGAAGGGAAAGCTGCAAAATAGTTTAATGGAAGTGTATTCATTTTTCTAAGAACTTCCCTTAAACCTTCAACTCATATGATTTGATCCTTGTTTTTTCTTCTTCTTAAAGAAATCAAAGACATGAAATGAGCTTGAAAAGAAATGTCATTATTACATTTAGTGCATCTTAACCAAATTTGAACACAATCTCATGGTCTTTAGAGATATTCTGCATGTAAAAAAATTGTACCAAAGATATATTATGGCAATATTTTCAGATTAGTTACTGCTGTAATTTTATATGAAGGCAAAGTGTTGTGATGTGAATTAGAGCAGATAGCAAAATTGTCTTTAAAGGCATATTGTTTTGTTTTGAATTGTTTTATATATATATATATACCTATGCTTCTTGTCTGATTCTCATTCACCAAAGGCCATTCCACAGCATTCTTATTGTTGCAGAGGCAAATTGAAACATGACCCTTTAAATTTTTCATGTGAATTTCCAAACTTTTATTGATTGCACTATGGGTATCCAATTATAATGCACTTGTGAGAAGGCAAAAAAAAAAAAAAAAAAAAAAAAGAATCCAGGCATCTAGGTAATATTTTAGATGATAAACGAAGTGTTATGAAGAGAAAAGTAACAAACATTATGCTTCTGTTAAGTTGACCTTCAAATAAGAAAATGGCAGGTTTTACTTTATCTGCTCAATACCAGATAATTAACTGACTCACGTATTGCCATTTCCATTTTAACATGCATTTCTATTTCAATTTTTTGGAATCGTAAAAAAAAAAGAACTTGTCTCACATTTCCATAGTCTAGAAAACTCTTCACATGTAGTTATATCATGTTATATGTACATGCTTATCCTTGCTTTCAGTATTGATTTTCATCTCTGTAGAGACAAAGAATCAATATTTGAACATCACAAATTTGTTGTATTGATTTTAACTATAACTTGCTGGGTGCTCAGCTTTGCACATTTCACTTCATAATTTGATCAAGCATTTCTCAGAATGATGATGCAATGTGCAGCAATGTATGATTTTAGTGCAAAATTAAAACTTAATCAATTGTATCACTATACATAAATTTGCTGAAAAGATAAACTTTTGTAGAGCAATTATTACTGTATTGTCGTAGATGTTTGTCTTATGAACAACAGACAATAAAGTGAAAACATATTTCGTAGTCTAGGTAAATTGTTTTTTTATTACACACCCATTGAATTATAAAAGCATTTTATTCACCCATATTTATCAAGCACTCTTGAAGATATTATAAAATTAGTATGACCAATGGAACTAAATATTACATATGATATTTCAAGATGCAGATTTAAATAAAAGTAGAATTACTTGGCTTTTACTGTCAGAGAGCTTTAGATAATTTTGACTTCTTGTTATAAAAAGTATGCTCTTAAAATGTTGTTTGTCAAAGTTTTTCTTTTTGGTGTAAACTCAGTGGTTCATTTGCATTTGTACCAAGATAATGCAACATCTAGGACTTTTTGTGCCCAGCTTGGCTTGGTTTTCATAAAATGTCAGTATTGTTGTACAAATTATTTACCATTTTGTAAATAAGTTGATCAAGTCTGTAAGTCTGTAGTTGTCAGAAATAAACAAGAGAACTGTATTTGTTGACTTGCCTCCTTATTTTATTTGCTTACTCAAACCGCCTGGTGAGTAAAGGCACCCTAATGATGTACTGTAAAAAAACAGCATTGCTGAAATAAACCTTTCACTTTAATATGACATGATAGAGTCTGGGATAAAAGTACTCAAAGATGTTTAGTGAATCATACTGTAAGACCTTTTTACATGCAGATAGTCGATGGTTAATGTGAAATACTTCCTTGAAACTGATTCTGATAATGTTTCTGATACTTCCCCTTAATGGCTATTGTCAACTTCATCATTTCCGTTCATTCAAAATGCTGCATGTGAATGCCTCTTGGGGATCAATTTTTGAATTTGTTCAGCCTGGATGGTATTTATGGCCATCTTTCACCATTATGAATCTCCATGTAAGATCTCAAATTTCAATATGTTTTCCAACTTCTGCAGTTTATTTGTTTTTAACATGGCATGTTTGAGTGATAATATGCTCAGTAAATTAATAAGCCTTATAATGGGTGATTTTTTAAAAGAAAATAAATGAAAAAAATTATTATAATATATCCTTTTCTATATTCAGTTACAAAAAGACACCTTTGCACTTAAATATGTTAAAACTATTCAGTCACTGTCACTTCCAATGTGTTCTGCAGTTTTAACCAATCAGATTTCTCTTTGCAAATGGTAATTTTGCATGATACTGGTAGCATAACACTGCTGTGATTCTAGCATTTTATTCATATCGAGATTCTGTCAGACCATAGCTGCAAAGTAGGCACATTTAAATGCACTGGCAGTATTTTTGAAATAAAAAATCTTCTTGTCTAGGGTGTCTATATTCAAACTACACTTAAATTATACCCCTGGTAATATTGACAGATTCTAGCAGAGCACTGAAATGGACGCGTTGGGGACCACTGCACATTAGAGTGATATAATTATTTTCAGTAATTGCTCCAGTAGCACTGTTTCTCAACTTAATTGTCATTGGTTGTTGCCTCATTGTGCAGTGTGGTTAATTTTCTTTGCAGTTTGTCGTCACTGTGGTTTAGTTTCTTAAGTACCAACCAGCCAAGCTCTTGTAGAAAAGTGGAAAGTGTTTGTATTTGAATGAGTATCTGATTTTGTAATGAACATAATACACATACACTATTTGAAAATGTCACTTGGTAAGTATGAAGTTTAGCCTCCAATCCATAGTTTTTTATGTTTTCATCCTTTGTTGTAATTGCCCGTGTTACCAGAAGCTTTAATATAAATCATTTAAAATATATTCTGTTGAACATCTTTATTTTTATTTGTGGTGCTTGCTAGAATGGTAAATTCAAAGAAGATAGAATGAGACGGGAGTTGGAAGTACCTTGGGTCTTCCTTCGTGTAGAATAAATGGTTGGTGGCATCCTATTCTAGCATAATCAAGTGCTGTATGACTCACATGCTGTTGTAAGTGATACGCCTTTCATGGCAGGAAAGAACAATTATAGATTGCTTTGGTTACCTTCTCTAAAAACAGTTTAGGGATTGAATAGAGGAGAATTTAAGCTCTTAGTATATAATGATATTGTGGTATTTGAAATAAAATACTATCTTTTATATTTTTTATTTATACATGCAGCATTATGAAACCAAGGAATGCGAAGTTGCTTGTATTACCTTTGTTTTTATCTAGAGTGCCGACAGACAAGTCCAAGTATAGGTTGCTGATAAACAAGTGCATATTGTTAAGAAGAGAGATTGGCTGGGTAACAACAACAACAGTAGGTCCCTTGCTCACAGTAGCCATCCAACAGGTATGTGAAGAGCATTGCTTTCATTATGTCATTTGAGTATATGTGACATATACATTATTCACAAGTTAGGAGTACAGGAAATGTCAAGTTGTTCATTTTGTACAATGTCAATCTTTTCCAATATAAACTAAAGTGTACAGTACTTCTTTATGGTAACACACTTACAGATACATATCTTAAGAGAAGTGATTGTTTAAAAAAAGGATCTGTCTGGTAGTCAAAGTAAATTTTAGACCTTGCATGTGTATTGATCTCAGTGTGTTGACTTGGCGGTGCCCTTGGGTATTGCCTTATTAATCATTGGGTAGCTCATGGTTTGATGGCTCTATGGTGATTAATGAACTTAATTCAATACATTATGTTCTTGTATACAAATGTATTTTTCAGTTGGTTATAGAGCGGATGAGGATCAATTTCAAGGGAAAAAACATTTGAGAGGTTTCTTCATTATCCAGGTAAGGAATATGTATCTGTCACCCGGATATATGATTAAGATAACTGTTTTTTAATATTTCAAACAGGAATGCCAAACAAATGGAGAGTTGTGTTCACGGGGCTTTATGTTTAGGACATGATGGCATTTGTTCATTTAAAGATTTTTATCTTCATTGATATATGATGCTTTAAAAGGCTGGACAATAAGAAAGTAATATTTCAAGCCGTTAAAAGCAATTTTTTATATTAGTTGGTATCTGTTGGAGAAGCTTCAATGCTTCACCCTTTTTTGTACAGATATCTCTTTCTGCTTAGGTGAGGCTTAATTCAAAGTTGGTCTTGTTGTCATGTGAGACCTGGTGTCAAGGTTGCAGGAGAAATCAACTTAAGGTTGAAACTTAGTCATAAAGTTATTCATATTTTGTGAATAACTATTGAGTGTTCATTGGGAATGGAAAATAAGATTATGGGAATATGACACATTTGATGGGAGCAAGAATTAAGCACACATTCTTGTAATTTCTCCTCCACACATGTATTACAACAGAAGATATTGTTCTCAATTTCCCATGCTCCATTCCCTACCAAAATTTTGAAGTTTGAAATCTGCTTAAGCCCCCGTCACACTTATTCGGAATCAGCGGGAATCAAGCAGAACCAGCCGGAATGACTAAATTTAAAAATTCATACTACATTCGGGAAGAAATTTCAAATTGGCCTTCATTCTTGTAAGAATGCCGTTGGAATACTCAGAATGCGCTTGAATCCGCTTGGAATGATTCTTGCACATTTCGGCTGTATTAGCTCTCAAATGCAGCTCGAATGTAGTTGGAAAACTAGGAATATCAATAATGCTGTCAGAATGCAGTCAGAATATTTAAAATACACTTAGAATGCCGTACGGGTGTAGTTAGATTGCTGGCTGAAATAAGATCGAGATGCATTCGAGTTGTATTGTGGCTCATTCTAGCAGGATTTGAAGTGTCTTGCTATTTCGGTTCTCCCTCGAATGTGATCAGAAAGTTTAGAATGCTGTCAGAATGCTGTGAGAATATTTAGAATGCAGTCATAGTGCAGTTAGAATACTATTTAAATGCCATTTGATAATTTTCCACTTGGAATGCACTTCAGTTTTTAACATAAGCAAAACATTCGGGCCGGCCACAAGAATGGGTAAAAATATTTGGAATGCACTCGGAATTTTTAGAATGCTCTTCGAATATCCAAGACCACACAAATAATTGTCTTTCCAATGGCATTCTTGCTCATTCCGCCTCTAGTGTGACGGGAGTATTAGACTAGACAAATTGACAAGTTGGTTAATGAGTGCTGACTTTCTGAAAACAGGATCAGTAGAGGAAATTTAATTTTAATTCCTTTTAACATATGATGTTTAACTGGCATCAAAGCTAAATTTAAGGGTTGTTTTTTTTTAAGGGGCAGGGATGCAAATTCAAAAACAACGGCATAAAGGTTTTCCTTGGTCCTTCCTACCAAACCAGGGCCCAGTGCATTTTATCTGTTAAAATAGGCATAAAAATTTATTGCTTGAAAATTCGGGATGGGCATTATACAATTCTGTCTGACTTTATTTTATTTATCTTTCAGATATTAGTGACATTAGTTCAAGTTTTATCTGTTACCAACTCAAAACCAGTAATATCTAGTGAATGAATAATGGATGATCATTTGCGAAAAAAATTCAAAAATATGTATTTTTTCAACATCTATTTAGTGCAATTTTATTTGTTACATACAATGAGTCCAAACAAATATAATCCTACAGAAAAACACCTACTAAAATATTTAGTGATATGCATTTGATAGAGCTTTTTTTCTGTCAAATGACAATAGAATTCCATTAGATCAGAACTAAATTTATTACCAAAAAGTATTAAAAGATGTAACATATCCTCACAATCATTGATGTGTATCTGTCTATCTGTCCCAATGGTGATATTTGCTGATGAATTATAAATGAATAGCAGTATGGAGATTAACTGGCCAAAACACCTCTGCTTAGCACCTTCTGCAGCAAATGGCAATAAGCCATTAAGCACAAACCACATTAAGTCAGGATTGAGCACTGATAGTCATATTATGCTCAGATGCTCACTGGTTTAGTAGGTAGAATGTCTAAAAAAAAAAGATGTAATGGGGAAGGTTTTAGTTGGAGATGGAAAATATAGGGGGAAGTATGTTGACTTTTATTCCATTTTTCTCTCTCTTTGTTGTGTCTGTCTGTATGTCTCTCTGTTAATGTAGTAACTCTCAAATATTAAGCAGAAGTTGAAAGATAATATATAATAATGGGGTCATTGTATTTAATGGCTGGCTATGATTGGGCTAGGGGCAAATAAAACGTGGAATCCAGCAACAGGTGCTGATACTTAAGTAGATCAAAGATGAAATGTTTTAGGATCAGTGATATAACAACCTTTTTTTCATAAAACACTCGCCATTTATTTCAGTATGGAGATTAACTCAATTTATTTCAATTGCATTGCCTTACTATTTCAATTACAGTGCTTAATTAGAAAACACATGTAGTGATGGACGGTCAGTTTCAACATGTCTAATGTTACATAATCCTTTGGGTAAGATTCTATCTGCACGACCATGGTCAATCCTAGCAATGTATAAACCATGGAATGTGATTGGCTGGTAAGCTTTCCATCTTGGTGGAAAGCATCATAATTTAATAATTCAATTCCATGTGCAATTGTTTTGAGGAGCCTCATGGGGTTTTACCAATTGAAATGGGATGTTTCAGCAAAACAGAAATTGGACCAGCTATTGTGATTAAACATAAGAGCAAGAATTAGGAACTGTTCAAATGAGTTATGTCAACCTAGCTTATTTGTACTAACTCCACCAGGACTCTTGCTTAATGCAATCAGATTAACACTGTACCTGCCTTCTGGGGTTCAGTAGAATACACAAGAGCTGGTGATTATACCAGTATGTTGGAAACAAGAGGAGGCGTTTCAGACTGTTAAAATGATTGCATTCATGTAGTTACAGTGTACACTATCTAGGTTGGCATAACTCATTCTGAACAGTCCCTTAGTCAAGTCCAATGAACACATATTCTCAGTGTGCATTTAGCATATATTTATTTATTTATTTATTTGTATAATGCAGTGATGATAATCTTTTTCATAAGTACCATTTAAAGCAATTTTAATGGCATGCTGAAACTGACATTCATTTACATGCTTTATGTGCATGGTTTACATATACTTCAAACAATGAACAGGCTTTTCAAAATAGCTATCTGGTTGTGAAACTGAATAGAGTGGTTTTGCCTAAGATCACTCTGATTTAAACCTTTTTATATTACATCAATCTCCATTCAATTCATCAGCAACATTTACAGTAACAAACAGTAATTAACAAGTCTCAGAGAATACAGATTTTACTTTTAAAAATTAAATTTTCTGTCAAACAAATCTCATAGCCGTATGAATCAGTTTTGTCTGTATTTGCCCTCAGACCACATTCTAAAAAAAGCTTCCCAGCTGTTATCATCAATGATGTATTCTGGTAGCCTGTGTCTAAAAAGAATGTTGCCATACCAACAGCTATGTAGACACTACACCATGATGGAACTGAATATAGTATTAAGGATGATCGAAGATGTTAGACATTGTATTAACATTAAGCCTGCTTGGATTCAGATTTGATCTGGTTTTAGACAGGCATCAACCATAGTAATAAGCAATTGATTCATTTAATCCAGCCTCTTTCTGCATGAGAAAATGTAATCGGATTATAAAGTGACCAGGAATACATGTTATGCCATTTGTGGGTGTGCTTATTAACCAATTAGTCTGATATTTTTCTCCTTCTAGGAATTGCATTGCTTTAATTGTAACATACAGGAAACACCGCATATGTCTTCAAGTAGGCAGAATTGATTTACAAATTAAGGAACAAACCGCCAAGTAACAGGTAGACTCCTGTTTTATGGCTGTTGTACCTGGTGTTTCCAACATTTAACATAATCTGCAGATGTTGAACATTAAGAAGCAATTTGAGTTACTTAAGCATAGATATGAAAACATTCTCTACTCTACATTGTAGCTGTCTTTAAGTGTTGAGTTGGCCAAAAAAATTGTGCTATAGTGTTTCTAGTTATATACTAGGTTTCAGTGAAAGTATTCTGATAAAGTTGTTTTACCTGTAGACTTCAATATAACAACAGTGTTTTGACAAAGATGGCACAGGAGTTCATGGATCAATCAATAAAATGTTGACTAAAACAAATCAAACATGTTTTTGTTTGACTACAGTTTATGATGGAAAGCATTTGGAAAGATGGCAGCTATTTTTAAAACCAGCTTGGGTCTAAAACATCCACTAGACAATCTTTCTCCAAATTTATTTCAATGTCTCAGTTACATAGGCATAATGCTCTCTAAATAATGTACAGAAGGAATTCCCAATGTGTTTAACACAATAAAATCATTAGAAGATTCTCTTATCTGTTCAGTAACTTGTTCTAGGTCAAAGCCTGTCTAAGCCTGAATCTGCTTGCATCAAAAGACAAAGATTTCACAATATTAAAACTAGAATTCTGGTGTCCTATTTCCAAAGGGAATTAATAACACTTCACTGTTATTGTGTCTGTAGAGATGTCAGACAAACATTGTGGAAAATCAATAGTAAAGGAAAGAATGTGTTTGTAGTGCTTCAGGAGTCAGAATCGAATATCTTTCCATCTTGTTGAGCAGCTGAGTTCTCTGGAGCATAATTGCTGAATAAAATATGAGAAAATAAACTGGAAGTTAAATTATACTGATTACATTTTACTGTTTTTCAATTTCATTTATTCACAGTGAATGAATTTTAAATGAAACATAGAAACCTGTTGCTGATCTGTATAAATGTATGTATTTAGTGGATGCCAATAAGGATATATCCCGATAAAAAGGACCATGAATCTCAGAAGAGTTGTTATTTGAAACTACAATAAAATTGTTTGAGAAATATCTCACTGGGTGTTATTAGGATCACA